GTTTGTAGAAACAGTAGAAAATCAGCGACTGCATGTTGACTCATACACCACCAGAAGCACGGAGGCATACGTAGAATTCAATACATTAGTAAAAATAGTTTTCGCTAATAACTCGAAAACTAAAGCTTCCCCTTAATTGCGGATAAGGAAAAAGTTGTTCAGAATCGTGCCCCTGATAACATATTAAAAGGACATTAAAATCGTCCAAAGTTGATTTCAAAAATTTTCAACAATTTTTCGCTAATATCTCGAAAACTAAAGCTTTCCGTGAAATTTGTATATGAACAAAATTGTTCAGAATCATGTCCGTGATAAGATATTAAAGGCGCACTAAAATCGAGAAAAGTTTATTTCAAAAGTTGCCGGTATTTTTGCAATGACAATACTTTGCAATTAAAAAATGAAAAATTTTTTGATAATGGTACCAATGGGGAGTCAGAACCTACCAGATGCAAAAGGTTTCGTTCCGATCGGTCCATCCAGCTAAGCGTAATCGGCGGGCACACATAGAAAAAAAAAAATATACTGATCGAATTGAGTAACCTCCTCCTTTTTCGAAGTCGGTTAAAAAATAGTCTGTATACGCACTTGCCCCGTTTACAAACTTACCCCACTTCGCCTTATATCGAGCAATTTATGGACATTTTATAGGTATCTGCTAAGGAACTGACACGTGACACATTCTAAATTTGATGAAATTGTGCACAATTATTCATTAAATCTTTTTAAGAATATAGCTATAATTCATTAATGCCCATTCCATGCAGTAAGAAAAAAATCAACTGTGTTATCCGAACCGATCCATTTACGTAATTGTTTAGAAACCGTAAACAACGGAAGGTATTAAACAATGTTCGGAATAGAAGTACCATTTCTTTAAAGTTTCAAATCAATATGCAAGGTTTTAGTTAAAAATAATTTGTTGACTCTGAATTACTAGACCCATATAAACCAAAAATTAGAACATCTCAAAGTCTCTGCAAAAACTTATCAAGGTTTTATAAAAAACAGTAGTGTTGGTTAAAAAACAAGTTATACACACGTTCCTTCCCCATCTAAATTTTATTTTCGCTAAACTGATCATTCGAATTTGACCTTCGTGACATAACTTCAATTCTTAAGTTTAACCTGTAATTCATTTCTTAAGATTAACCCACAAAATGTTAAAAATAATCGAACATCAAGCTACATTAATAAGAAAGCGATGTCAATAGAAGAAAACTGAATCGATAGATAACGTTAGTTTACTGTGGTGAATGCAGACGACGGATACGATTCTAAAGTATAGATGCTTTGAAAACGCTCGTATCGGTCTTCAACAGAGGCGACAGAAAAATCGATCGAGGAGCAAGTGGCTTGAAGCCAGTTTCCGGAGACAACTACCGGTGAACATTCGTTTTCCTGTAACTGCCTATACGTTATCGAGTAATCCTGGAAACAAGTTGTTAAAGTAGAGAACGACACTCCCATCGACTGGCCCGTGAGTTAAGGTACTTACTTGTAACTTGATGACATTCTATGACCCTTGCATTACATACATTTCTTCCCCTACTTGGCTGTCTCGTACGTCGTTTCAACTAGTTTCAAACCAGTTGTTCTTGAGATTTCTTTTGTCTCGTGGAAGTGTTACAAGAACTCTACGGTGCGAACTGACTACTTTTAATAGTAGAGGTTCGCAAGAATGATTTTTTAGCTGTTTTTTTAAAATCAATTTTACAAAATTAATGTTCGAGAAATGTTTCGTTAATTTTGTAACGGTGGATTCGTTTTTGGAAACGAATAATAATAGGAATGTAATAATAGGATTTATATAATAATAGGAATGAATTTTAAAATAATACAATTCAATATGAGGTTAAATGAGTAGTTAATTCGTACGTTTTAATTATAATTATTTTAACAGAGTGGATATTTCAGATTCTACTCCGTGCTGGCTTTGTTCTGGTTTGAACATGTTATACTTTTTTATATAAATATTGTACTTTCATTTTAATATTTTTAAATATATTATGATATACTTTACTTCTATATTTGAATCAAGTAAGTCATGGTCTTGTAATTCAGCGAGGGTGATTTATAATTTGTAGTAAAAATAGATGTAGTAAAAGCGGATGTTTGTGGTCAGATACTATAACACAAATTATTAAAAAGATACTTCATTTTTTAATTTCACCTTTTAATCTGTTTATGTATGTCGTCGTCTCAACATTAAGAGCTCTCAAAAATTTCTTTCGTTTCCCTTTTCAATAAATAATTTAAATGAATCTGAAACGTTGGGTCATGTGTGACCACCCTGACGGTTAACGTTTTAAAATACAAAATCGAGAAAATAGTTTTACGTAATTCTCGTTTTGTTAATCATTATAAAATTAGAATAATCACTGTAGCTTAAATAATTCGTTTAATTATTTATTTAGTTATTCAGAAGATATATCAATTTTTAACACAAGATTGAGAATTAAGTGAATCAGTATATTTAATCAAAATTATGTTGATTGTAAGAATTACGTAAATGAAAAAACAGTTACAGATGAAATGGCGACTTATAATTTTCGCTTGTACAACCTTCAAACAAAAAGAGTATGATGAACACATAAAAGTTCAACAACATAAAGCATTATATTCTTAGAAACGAATACTTGCTGGAAAAGAAAATATGAGAAAACCTGTTCCAGAAAAAAAATTCTCAAGAAAGTTTTGCACGCGAAACGGCGAGATCTAGCAAACGAAAGAAAAAGGTTAAATCGCGAGTGAACGAGCTGAAGAAAGTAGAAATAAAAAAGTTCTGCGGTACTTGAATGGGTTATGCGCGAGTTCAGAGTTCCGAATTGCAGTTACAAAGCCAACACTGTGATAATACCAGAGGTCATAGTCCCAAATGGACGAGAAATTTCAGAAAATTTAACCGGAAAATTACCCAGGGCAAATTTTCGCCAATACTTAACCGCCCAATCGTACGTACGTACCATTGTTCCTTATCTGTTTATTCTGATAACGTGTTAGACTTTTAACACGTTTATCTGCAACGAAAATATGGACTTAGACAAAAGGTAGTTTAATTAACGGGTTTCCTAAATAAAATGGAAACTTTTATTTTCAGTATTGTAAATTGGGGAAATAAAATTTGTCTGTTATAACAGCGTTTTTTAACGATGAAACTTCGTTTAAGTGATAAGCAGAATATTAGTAGTGTATTGTTACACTTTAATTTTTCATCACGTTATTTGTTTCATAATGTCGTTTAATTTGTATGAAAAATTGAATTTTTGTATTTTTAATGATTTTTTGTACTTTTTCTTAAAATATTGTGTTTGTAAAATTTAGTGGTTCAATAATAATTGTATTTCATAAGAAAAACTGGATTTGATGAGCTACATGGATTGAAATTCAGAAAAGTATTTGAAATACAGGGTTTGTCCAATAAGTATCCGGATTGATGTCCTAAAATGAAATGCGTTGAAGATATACGTACATTGAGTTAATAATCTTCAAAGTATGCCCCTCCTGCATCAATACACCGTTGCCAGCGGGTTTTCCATTGTTTATACGCTTCCTGGAAGTCGGCAAGCGTAAGACTGTTCAGGCACTCCGTCGAAGCCGCTTGAACCGCCTCAATCGTCCCGAAACGATGTCCTTTAAGGCTTCTTTTAATGCGAGGGAACAGAAAAAAATCAGAGGGTGCTATATCTGGACTGTAGGGTGATTGGGGTAGTGTTGTGATGTTATGCTTCGTCAGTATCTGTCTCACAATTAACGACGTGTGACTTGGCGCGTTGTCGTGATGGAGCATCCAGGAATTCGCGATCTCCCTTCGTACGCGGCGTACTTTAAGTCTCAAACGTTCGAGCACTTCTGCGTAAAATTGGCCATTCACTGTTTGTCCAGCAGGCACAAACTCCTTGTGGATAACACCTTTTGCGTCAAAGAAAACAATAAGCATCGATTTTATCCTTGACTTGCTCATGCGAGCCTTCTTAAGGTCGAGGAGAGCCGCTTGTGTGCCACTCAGCACTTTGCATTTTTGACTCCGGATCGTATTCAAAAATCCATGTTTCGTCACCGGTAATCACTCTGTCTAAAAGATTTGAATCCCTCTCCAAACATTCTAAAAGTTCACGAGAAATCGTCACACGGCGTTCTTTCTGTTCCTCTGTTAAAACCTTCGGAATCAATTTAGCGCACACTTTTCGCATTTGCAAATCCTCGGTTACGATAGAATGAATAGTGGATTTCGTTAAATTTAATTCCTGTGCAATTAAACGAATGCTTAAACGGCGATCGGAATTCAAAATTTCCCGCACTTTGTCGACATTCGTATCGGATCGGGACGACGACGGTCGTCCAACGCGTTGCTCGTCTTCAACGTCTTCACGGCCATCTTTGAAATTTTTGTGCCACTCAAAAACACTCGTTCTGGACATGGAATCATCCTTGTAGGCCTGACGAATCATATTAAATGTCTCCGTAGCAGATTTATTTAGCTTAACGCAAAATTTAATCGCACAACGCTGCTCGATGTTTCGTTGCATTTTGATTCTCGACGCGAACGTTAAATACGCTTCCACTTCAAGCACGATATAAACGAAACAAATGAAATGTGGAAAACAAATGAACCTAGATTTTTATTATACATAACAACTTTCCGCATCGATCTAGCTAATAGAGATTGCTCCCTGACCTACCAAACTAGCAGAAAAAAATCAGTCCGGATACTTATTGGACAAACCCTGTATTTCATATACGAACTAGTTCATATTAATTATTTTGAAATTTTTTACATTTATTGCTTTTTAAGAATTATACATTAATTTTTGTATTACTTAGTTCTGCTTTAAGTTTTTTGTAAAAATTGTTACATTAAATTTTCTGTAGTTATTAAATTAAATTCTTATATTCATTTTTACACTGATTTTTTCAAAATTTTTATTCTTTTTTTATACTTTTTTTAATATTTATAGAATTTTTTTTAACTTAAATCTAACAAATGTCCCTAATTTTTCTTGCAAAAAAAACATTTTGCGCGTCAGCTTAAAGAATTGTTGAAACAGACTAGGTATACCTCATTTAATTAACCACAGCAGTCCTTCTTTATATCATTTTTCAAAATTAATGTAAATAAACCTTTCCCTTAAATGCATTTTCACAATCGATGATGTTATAAAACGAATAAATAAGAACAAAAATTGTGAACTACTCTAAATAAGAACAACAACTAAAATTGACTTGAAGAAACAAAACAACTGGTCTGTGATAAAAGTCGAAAAACATATCTTGCTTGAAACATGCATATAGGTAACAACTTCTAACGAAAAGCAGTACAGATGCCTAAAATTTTCACAATGAGATTAATTTTCTTATCTGCTATAGTAGGACGTTGGATAATGCCTGAACTTAACGACTAAGTTGATTCCCTTTGTTAGTAACTCCAAAACATTAGAATGTAGAAACTTCGAATTGCGAGAATGAATAGTGAAAAACATCAATGAAATTTTGTAATTACATTTTCTATCTTATCTCCGAAGAAATAATCAAATTTTGAGCATAATATTGCAATCATTGCACACAAAATGACTGATACCCATCTAATTTTAAAGATGTCAACTCTGAATATAAATGTAAATATCTAAAGAATATATACTGTATTGAAATACAGATGCAATGTACAAAAAATTGTAAAGAAAATACAAGTGAACCAAGCTTATAGAAGAGAAAATATATTTGAGACTTCAAGAAATAAAAACCACCATTAAAGCGTAGGGAGGAATTCATAATTTAATTGAAATCCTTGTTGAAAGCACTAAATCTAAATTTCGCAACTAATTAATCGTAATGGAATTGCAATGAATTAATAACATCAATTTGTCTTATAATTAATTAGTAGATAAATGTTTTCTTTCTTTGCTATTTATCTTATGTTTTGATCCAACGAATAACTGACTCATATTTTCATCCAAGAAATACGATTTTCCAGAGAAAGAGCATTGCATGTGAAAATCCTAAAATATTTGCACAAATTCTCTTGCATTCTTCACTGACACTGCATATGGAAAAAGCAATATTAAATCAAGTAAATATTCATAATATTGAGTTAGCTAAAAATGAAGCAACTTCATAATCCAATTACACTGAAAGATTATAATGAAAAGTGTGCTAAGAAATTATAACTAAAATTGTACTAAAAAGTTGTAACTAAATTCGAAAATTATAATTATAATTTAATTACTATTATAATTCCAATTATAACTCGAAATTTTTATTAAACCAGCAATGTATGAAACAAAAATTAAAATACATTTGTTAGTCTTTTTGCTCATAAAACATTTTATCGGACACGAGCTTTTAGTGATCTCACAAATGAATGTAATTCAAGCTTCTGACTGACGTGGTTCAAGTGCTATTTCATGCTACTTTTATTTCATCAAATAATGTCAGACCTTCTACCTTTCGCAACCCATCTATTCGATATGCAACAACTTAACAGAAATGACTTAATAAAATGACAGAGGAAATCGTGCCAATAGTTTATATTTCTTTGCCAGCGTTTACGCCGTGTTTGAGCTTCCGCTTCGATTACAAAGAATGCTTCTTTCTTTGAAATCAACCAGCCGAGAGGTCTGAAACTGTACGAGAAATAGCTGTCGGATTAACCTAGTTTCCAAAGTAGGAGATATTTCACGTTACTGATACTCCTATTCTTCCTTATTGATATTGCTTCGATCTTTTATATCCGGGAAATTCAAATCTGTATTACATCGCGAGTTTTCAAACGACGAAATTCATGTAATTTCCGAATATTGAAGTATCGTGTAAATATACTAAGACGAAAATTTCATGGTACCATTTATAGAATTAGAATTCGAATGCGATGATCGTATTTCGGTAAAGTTTTGAGGAACGTAGCCAAATATTGAATAGTGTCGATTTTTAGAAACGTGAAAAATGTCGAACAGTTTTACTGCCTCAGTTTGGCACAATTTTTCGACTATCTCGCTAGCTTAGCTCGATTCGATGTTATTGAAATATGAAATATTTATCTTGTTTTTTTGATCTGGCTGAGAAGTATAGTTCTTAGTGTGCGAATTTTAAATATCTAACGATTATGTTAGCACTTTCATACGCGATAATCACCAAGGCGTTTTTAATTAAACTTTTAAAAATGTGATTTCATAGCAGGTGTTCAATGTTCATTCAGTAGCAAGAGTAATGTTATTCCAAACGCCTATTCGCCCACCTAGATTATGAAAATTAAATGCAACGAATTTACGACGAGAGTGGTGAAATCTTTTTCCGGAACTTGCAAACTTTAATAGAAGTGAAAATCGCTAAATCTGTTCTCGTTCCACTTATTTACGTTCACAGAATTAATGTGTCAGCAGATAAGAGCCCTATCAGGTCCAAACTTTCGCGGTTTAAAGCGTAGCCTTTTCAGAATTTGCTGGCTGAAACGTAAAATCCAGCTTATCTTCCCTTAATTAAGATTCACTAATTCTAAGTGAAAAATTGGTCTATAAATTAAGGTAGAATAAGATTTAAAGTATCAATTGGTGAGAATTAGAAATTTTTAGTTTAACAAGTAATTCAAATTTGTTCTTTTATGGCGGAAATTGTACGTATACATATAAATATAACTAAGTTTTTTGGACAGACACGTTACTCAATTATTTCACTGACTTTACCGTAATAATTTAATTTGACTTCAAGATTTAATATTTGCACATTATTTTGTTTATTGTTTTACTTCTTATTCTGGTGTAGTTCGTTCATGACGTCTCAGCAACGCATAACATTGATATTTTTATAAAATTACTATAATAATTTAAGGAAACTAATTTCAGTGAATTATAATAGCTTGAAACTAATTGTAAGTGAAATTGTTTTATTTTTTATTTATTTCTCTCCTAATGAAAAATTTATTATTATAAACAAGTATACATAATCTCCAAGAAAGAAATAATAGTTGTCCCAAAGAAATACAAAACACACGAAAGATCGTATCATTTGCAGTGCTATAAAATTGTTAGTGACTTGCATGAACTATTCGTGCAATTATCGATTGCATGCATCCCCCACATTTTTGGTCTTAAATCTTAAAATTCAGAAAATTTTTGCATCTATTAAAAATTCATAATCACAAATTTTTAGAACCACTTCCATTGAACTGGAAGAAATTATTATACAGTTTTTAGGTCGTTTCAAAAACATGGTTTGATACAATATTTTTTTCCACTTAAATAATTTTTCGTTTCTATACAACATCAGTTCATCGATGACTTGTAATAGAACACAATAAGTGGTGTCTCCGAGCGAATATCGTAGCAGCAGGTTAACTTCTACACAAAAACTGGAACTTCGTAGAGAGGAAGACATCGTAGAAACTTTAACTTCTTTTCACGCGGGTCAGGAATAAAGTTAACAAGATTGTACGTTACAGGATGAATCTACTCGCTTCCTCTGCGTATGCAAATAAACTGTTCTCGTCTAATTACAAGACTTCGTCGGAAAATTGAAATTTAGCTCAAGTCGCAGAAAAGCGAAATGAAAAATAGAAGTGGTGGTTTCGTTCGCTGAAAGCGCAATGTCTCGATTTCTCAGGTGCAAAGCATTTCCAATTTCTTTGAAGGTAGAGCATTGTAGGCCATCTAAAATTTTCTAGACAAGGATTACACAATAGAGGATTACACGATTGCACAAATTAAAGGTTCGAGAATGCAGAAAATATTTTCAGTGGGTAGAATATGAAACTGAAATTTAGAAAGTATAGTTGCTATAGAACTCGTCATGACATTATTATTTTTCAATTTCTCAATTTCCAAATCACTCAATTTTTCAATTTTTCAATTTTTCAATTTTTCGATTTTTCAATTTTTCAATTTCTCAACTTCTCAACTCCTCAATTTCTCAATTTCTCATATTCACAAACTTTAAAACTTTCGAACTCTTCAATTTTTAGATCATCAAAATTTCAAATTTTCAACACCTAAAACTCTCAAATTCTACAATTCCTGAAATTCCACAATTTTCCAATTTTCTGAATTCTTCAATTTTTAAAATACTATAATTCATGTTTCCCAAATTCTCAATTTCTCTATTTCCCCACTTTTCAACTTGGCATACACCTACATTATGTAAATTCCCAAATTCAAGAATTTCTGTCTTTTCATGTTTCTAAATTACGTATATAATTAAATAATCCTGCGATGTTTAAATTTTAAATTTGTACGCTTGAAAGTTTCCAAACTTTTGTACCAAAGTAGCACTGTATACTTTCTTTGAGCTACCCGCAATTTCGAGATCGAACTTTCCATTCAATATTTTTCCACAAATACTTAAAACAACAAGCTGATGTGTTTATTGTCAAACAAAACATCGCCACGTCCGTATACCTCAGAGGACGTTAATTTACAAACCTCCGTTCCGTTCCTGTTGAAATGTCAACGCAAACATTAGTAAA